AACTCTATTTTCTCGTGACCACTCAATAACACAATCTGCTATATTTTGGGCGTGACTTTCACTCTCTTTTGGTACCGCATCTCCGAGGCTGTTGTATCATCAACGTATTTCCATAGTGGATACGCGATTTCAAGGTCATTTATCATAAGCACAAATAACCATGGGCCCAATTTTGTGCCCTGTGGTACTCCGGAGGGCACAGATCCCCACTCCGAAAGGCACTCCGCAGCCAGCTTAATTCTTTGTAATTTATCAGAAAAAAAATCAACTATCCAATTGGTAATACTAACCGGCAATTTACACTTAGTACGCAATTTTCTGATCAGAATTTCATGGTCGATAAAATCAAAGGCCTTTCGATAATCAAATAAGATTGTTCCTACGGTAGCGCCATTTCCATCAGTGTTAATAGACCAATTATGTAACATGCTAATTAAGGCCATAGTCGTGGAGGAATTTGGTATTGCCCCGTATTGGCTGTCAATGATACTCATAACTGCTGGTTTGACGTAGTCGTCCACAATAAACCCTTCCGCGACCTTAGAAATGCAGGGAGTAAGCGAGATAGGTCTTAGGTCCTTTTTCAGTTCCTTTACTGATTTCTTTTTGGGCAGGGGTGTCACGTCAGCCAACTTCCACATTCTTGGTAAATGCTGCTCGGAGTAGGAGGCATTAAGGATTTCCGTCACGGGGAAAGCCACTGCATCTGAATATTCCTTCAGCAGCCAATTGGGAATTCTATCAGGCCCACACCCTTTCTCAGGGTTAAGGTGAAACAGAACCTTCTGAACACGTTGTTCACTCACGCGCAGGATCTCTGGTGTTGTATCCGCCTCCATGGGGAGAAACTCTAGTGGAGTTGGCAGCCTGTACTCCTCCAGCGGTTCTAATAACGCAGCATTGATGGTGTTGGCCTTTTCTTTTAATGAAAATTCTGAAAAACCTTCCACGTCAATCTGGCTCAAAAGGTCGCCATTTTTTCATTTTTTTTTTCTTTTTTTTTATTTCTCTAACTGCGGCTTATCTCGCTGCGCGCGAGCTGAATGGGTTTTACCTGGTCCAAATTGTCTACCTTCTACAAATCGAACACTGTAAACAATCCGAAATCACGCGAGTCGTCACTAAACAATTCTTGACTCAAGATAATTTTATTTTATCAACTGAGTTGATAATATAAATTTTCTATCGTAGAGAGTTTTAAAAGCTGACGTTTCGATCGCTACGTCTTGTATCTTCGCCTGAGCGAACACACAAAGATATATTCGCTTTGCGACTGAAGAAGGGTTAACACTACCCCCCATCGACACAGCACTACAATTTCCTTAGAAAATTTATATATCCCATTTATTTTAGAATCAGACTAAGGCTAACAGTACAGGCTGCAAAATTTGCTTTGACGAGATAGATACAAGAAGTTGTAATTCTCACGCTTGCAATTGGGACTAAGCTGTACTGATGATGCTTCATAATGGCTCCGCAGAGAGAAGTGTTTTCAATGTGTAATTATGAACTACTGACAAAGATAAGTTCACATTTGCCAAATGCAATCCGAATATGCTCTGCCGTCCCCCTCCAATGACTCCGCGGTTCAAGTTGAGTAATTACACAAACCGTGCTGCTAAATAATTTGGTTATATCAGCTAAGTTGAAATTGTAGATTGGCGACCGCAACGAGTTAAAAAGCTAACGTTTCGAGCGTTAGCCCTTTGCTCTGACGAAGGGCTAACGCTCGAACGACAGCTTTTTAACTCGTTACGGTGGCCAATTTACAATTTCAACTTACGTATGATGCACGATCCTTCGCAGTAGATAGGGCTATTTATGCAATAGCGAATATCAGACCTGTAAAAAATTAGGCCTGTACGGGATTCGAACCACTGACCTCTGCGATACTAGTGCAGCACTCTACCAATTGAGCTTACAAGCCAACTGGGAGCAGGCCGTTGAGTTGATTCGTAATAAACCCGTGATGATAAATTGGATACAAAGAATATATGAAGTTCATATATTTTGAACTGCGGTATTAAAATACGTATGATGCACGATCCTTCGCAGTAGATAGCGCTATTTATGCAATAGCGAATATCAGACCTGAAAAAAATCAGGCCAGTACGGGATTCGAACCACTGACCTCTGCGATACTAGTGCAGCGCTCTACCAATTTATCATCACGGGTTTATTACGAATCAACTTAACGGCCTGCTCCCAGTTGGCTTGTTAGCTCAATTTTTTTTTCGCCATTGCATAAATAGCGCTATCTACTGCGAAGGATCGTGCATCATACGTATTTAATACCGCAGTTCAAAAAATATGTGAACTTCATATCTTCATTGTATCTAATTTCAACTTAGTTGAATTAATCAAATTACCCTGTTACCACCACTGACGCAGCACCACAGTTTCTTTAGAAACTTTCACCCTTTTTCATTCGTGCTACTACATAGATGAATAACCACTGATCTCGGTGGTCATAGGTCGCTCGCTCAACTCGAACATGAATTAGAGTTAAAAAATGGTAAGATCACAAGTTGTAAAAAATAAATTATATACGGCAAATCTCTTGATTTCCCTGGTATCTTAGAGAGCGAACAAATAATTTCCACCGTAACCGAGTCGTTCAGTTTTGGATAATGCGATAGTTGGGTTTTATTGAAACAAGAAAATATGAATATGGAGTTTCGTGCGTATGAAATAATACATATCGGTAAAAGGGAAAGTATATGGAAAATGAAATAAATTATCAAATGTTTTGTAATTTTCGACTATCAGTTTCAATCCTGATGAATTACTTCAGCAAGGTTCAAATTCAAGTCTGGGACTTTTCGACTTGCGAAATTTTTCATCCAAGTTTCATGAATCTGACCCGACAATCCTTCGTCAGGAGTTTTTGACGCCCTACAAATGCTACATTTTAATGATTAATCAGTTACTTGTTTTTAAAAAAAAAACAGTTTTTCACTCGTTTATTGACTTTTTTCATCACGATTTCAGCTATGTATTATTCTGATATTATTAATTATAAATTCCTTAGTTATTTTCTAAAAGATATTTTTTTCTGCGATCAGATCACAGTCTTCTAATGTTTTTTAAATTCTTATCATTATAATTTCATCATTGTCACAGTCTTGCTGACATAAATAACATTACTATTATATGTGATCAAATCTTCCCGATAACAATTCATCCAATATTTTCTTCACCTGAAAAAGAGAAAAAGGGTGAGTTCTAAAATATTGTCATAAGCTCTTATCAGAAAAAGAAATTTAAAGTTTATAAAAAAAGAAACATCTAGATTAGCTACCTCAAATTTGATAAAATATTTTCTCTTGCTGGAATTCAATAACAAATTAACCCAATCTCGACGTGGTATTGCTGTCGTTGCTCCTTTTTAACAATTTATCATTTTAAAATTATTTTTTGACCGAATTTGATAACAGTCATAAAAACAATAATAGTAATAATGACGATAATGATAATTTGGCTTTGGACATTTCCCGTGGAGGCTCTTCCTGTCCACTGATTTCAGTTGGAGTTGGGATTTAGAGTGTTGATTTTTGAGGAAGAAGGAAAACCGGAGGACTCAGAGAAAAACCCTCGGGGCAAGAACGAGAACCAACAACAAACTAAACCCACAAGTCACGCCAGGTCTGGGAATCGAACCCAGGCCACAGCGGTGGGAAGCGAGCGCTCACAACTGCGGTATTCTTGCTCCCCGTTTAACAAATGCAATTCTATTTTTCAGAACGAGTAACAGAGAAAGTCTACTCCCTTGATAAACTCAGTTCATTTTTGCTATAAAAAAAGTATATCAATACGGGTATGAAAGGAATATCGGAAATCATTCTTTGTATTTAGTCCTTGTTTTGTTTATTTCTTGTCGTTTGTTTGTTTTGTTTTTTTTTATAACTGACTCTATCTTGGCATGTCTCTACAACCTACCTTTGCGTGGCTTCGTGTAGCCTTGAAAAGCGATACCTCTGTTTCTCTTAGAAGGATTAAGTATTCAGCGGCCGACAGCTCAATTTCTTTCACATCTTCTTCATTTAAATCAACTTCGTCTGATTCCTTTCCATCCTTTTTTCCCTCGGTTCCTCCCACCATGGTTTCATCTGCCTTTGATTCATCACTGCGTTCGTTAATTTGTTGAGAATCGCTGTTTCCAGCTCCCCCGGAGTGCCCCCTTAAGGTTTCTTCATACTGCTCCTCATTTCCTCGAGAGCTGTCATATTCTTGGTGTGATTCTTTGTTATTTTCTGTTTCTATTTCTGTGGTGTTCGTCTTCTTTTTACTTGCATCATCTTCCGTGCTGGTATTTTTCCCCTCAAACCAAAAATTAATTGATATGGTGTTGCTAAAAGGAAAACAGAAACGTCTAAAATTAAAACTTAAAACATATAGTATGCGACTACCGTTCTGTGATACACCCAGAAAGAGGAGCTCTTTTGGGCATCTCTACAAAAATTGTGTATAAATAGCTCCAAAGCAAACTTTTCATTGACAGAAAAGGAGTAAGCGGGCTAAGAGATAAGTGAGATTTGGCCTGCCAGGCCAAATTGCAATGAACTTTGACCGCTGTGTGCCATAGGGAGGAATCAACCCCTGATGTTCTTCAGGTATTTTCACAATGCTGCTCTAAGTGCCTTACGCCAAGCACGGGTGTGGAAACGTTCATGTGTTTCAACCGACAACTGTTTTTTTCTCTTGCAATTTTCCACATGCGGAGAAAGTTTTTTTCTACTTGCGCGTATATAACTGATAGGGGGCAACCTGTTGTTTTTATAATGTCGAATAACTCAAGAAACTTTATTCCGCTTCTGCGTTCTTCGACGGTTACACGCAAAGGATTACATATAGAAATCAACATTTAATTTGAACAAAAAAACTGATTGTTTAAACAAAACATAAAAAAACACTTTTTTCCATTGAACAGCTTAATTAAGGAGAATTTTAAAGTATGGGCCTAGCCAGTTTATGTGGAGTTTTCATAGAAGAAAAGTGCAGAGCCTATCAATAACCTCCCGTGATCTTTCTCGCGCGACTGGAATTTTTCGTCATTCTTTTTCTCTATTAAGCTCAAGGCTACCAGCAGCTATTGCGAACGTATTCCTTCCACAGCTGACTGCCACTTCCGCAGTGCGTCTGGTTCCCCATGTAGTCAACTGCTGCTTTCTGAGACGTTTTCACCCGCATGACTTTGAATTCTACATTTTTGAACGTGCTTAAACTGAGACATTACCTTCATTGCGTTCTCACCTGTGCATCTCGCTTTCAATGTAATGCCACCAAAGATTTGGAATATATAAGACCTCTCCTGGCTCTAAAGCAACCTCCATACCTCTAATCTCACGGAATCTAGGAAACCAGTCAAAATCAGGTTTGTCGAAGTCCACCTTTAACGAAAGAAATGTAAGAAATTATCAAGAGGCTGACATGGACTGGAATCAAGATGCTAAACTTGAGACGAGAGTCTAGTTTTATGAGGAAGCGGGCTGAACGTACGTACGACTACTTTTATCTTTTCTACTGATGGACAGCTTTGATATTTATTTGCCATATTAATTAAGAAAGGAGATGTGGGTGGTCCTATAGAAGAGAACGAACAGAAGACGTAGGGGTTTTTGTGTGAGCAAAGTGTGCGACAAAGATCGGCTTTTCCTAGGTTCTCTGAGATCTAGAAAATGGGAAAATTTCGAAAGAGCTAGAGAGGAATGATGCAAGATCATGTTAGGCTCTATATCGGGGTTAATTCTCTACTCTTGTTGCTCCCCTCCCAGAAGGAATAAGAAAATTTTACCTGTGTTTGCCGATCATGAGGATGTCCCACAGGATGGGGATACAAAGAACGGAAGTAATCTGGACTAAACAAGATGACACGCTTCCGGCCAAAAATCTGCAATAGGAAAAAAAAACCGAAGATCAGGTTGATCCACTGATAGAACAGTTTTCAATCAAGTATCGAAAGTAATACATGATTACTTTGGTTTTGCTTAATGTCTCTTCTACCAATCAGATTCAAAGCTCGTAATTTAATCACATGCATTTTCTCGCTTTTTTTTTTCTTTTTTTTTTTTTGTAATCAGACATGACATGACATGACACTTAACATAATGACCCACCACCCACAAATAGCTGAACTAGTCTCGGTGGGCAGGGTGTGGACGCTAAAACATCTTAAATAAATTTGGGCTCAACAAAAGATTCAATAAATATACAAGAAAAAGAAATTAAATATTGAATCAGTAAAGCAGAATTGACAGTATGAGATAAAAATACAGAAACAGAAACACATGACAATAAATAGAAGAATACATAAGTTATACACTACTATTAACCGGATTTAACTTTCGACACATCATTGATTATTCGTTCTACGTCAACGTAACTATCTTGAACTTAAAGATTTTGAAATAATATTGTTGTTATCTTTTTCTAGAAAATATGTTTTGGAAGATTCCTTAAGTTTCCTGGGATGCTATTCCAAATTTTACAACCAATCCTTGAGAATGAGTTTTTATGTTGATTTAGCCTAGAACAGTTTATGTAATAGTTACCGGCAGATGAAGATCGGGTATTATGATTGTGTATTTGGTGGGAAAGTGTGAACAAACCAGAAAGATTAGGGGGGCTTAAATTGTTATGGTCATCATGCATTAAGAGAGATGAGAGTTTAACGTAAAGCATATTAATTGGCATAATATTAGCCGATATAAAATAAGGAATGGCGTGTGAATTATAGTTAGCAAAGTTCATAAATCGCACAACCCTTTTCTGGAGTATCAATATTTTTTCCATATGAGACTTAGCTGCTTGGCCCCAAGCTACAAGGTCATATGATAAATAAGGATAAATGAGTGATCTATATATATTTAGTAATGTCGCTTTTCATGCAGTGCGCATGTTTTAGTACTCACTGGCTAACAATCATTTCGCCTTTGCTTCAATTGGCTGTTGCAATAAATTTAGTTTTGGTTTTTTGAAACTCAACTGAAAACTGCTGTATGTGTTCTGCGTGATACCAAGTAAGAAAAGATATGTCTTCTGCTAAAAATGATATTGAAAAGGGCAAAATCTGTAACTATAAACATAATTGAGATTGAAGTAACCAAGAAAGAAACAAAGGTGGCTTGACTCCCATAAGAGATCGCGAAAGAGCAGCATAGAGAATTCATGACTTTCTAGGATTGCCAACTTGAGACAAGTTCTCTTGCTCATGAGGAGCTGACAAGGAACTCAACTGGTTAATTTAGCTTCGCAGTTTGCACTGAAATTTCACTCTTAATTCAACTGAATGTGTTAACTAAAATTCGGATTGTATAGTATTATATCGATTTAATGAGGTAAGTGAAGAATGATCAATATTATCATTATCCTTATTGAGATAATTCAAATGTAATATGATGGATCCAAAAAAAGCGATGGTTTTAACTCTAAGACAACATTTTTATGACATATAATACGACGACTATACTGAAAGGATAGATAGAGACGTACATTTAGATGCTTTGACTGAGAGAGCAATTCTATGCCTGCGGCATTGATATCGTGGATATTATAAGCGCCCATGAAGTCTCTGACGAAAAGAAGCGAAATATGAAGCTGCTTATTCTTCCGTAACTCTTTTAAATGAAAAACAAGACTGACCTGCACGTAAAGATTCTCCAAGACATCAAAGTGCGCAGGCGTGACGACATCAGGCATGCCAACCAATAGCAAGTTAGTAACATCCTCGCCCCAGCTCAAGCGCGTCACGACGTCAAGTAGCCAGGTATAGTTGAAAGAATCAATGTCGTTCTGCATGGCGGCACTAACACCTTCTTGAAGATATATCAGTGACTAAAAATTGAAAAGAGTCACGCAAATTAAGAGAGTCGCGGCGAACAATGCTTGGGTATTACAGGGTGATCACGCCGCCTATCAGGCAAAGCAAAACTAAACACAAACTTTGACAACAACAAAAACGAAAAAAACAATAGTAGTCATAGTTGTTGAAATTATTGTCAGTGTTGTAGCAACGCATTCAATGTATACGTTCATACTGGCTTGCTCTGACGAAGGGTAACGCAGGACTCGTTAGCACTTGAAACTCTTTACATTGGCCAATCAACATTATCAACTCAGTTCCTTAACCAAATCATCTTGTAATATCATGCACCGACGCAGCACCACATTTCTTTTAGAAACTTACCCCCTCTACACATTAGTCATAATTTCTCCCTCCTAGCTTGGAAGGATTTATTCATTCGTGGATCCTAAAAATAACTTAACTCAAGGATGTCCGTCTACCCTCTTTTTCAGCACAACTAAATCTTCAACAGATTGGGAATAATATCAGTTGATTAACTGTACTGTAGTGTAAGTTAGCCTTATTTTCATGTCAAAAAGGGATGGAAATTTCCAAAGTCCAGTTCGGATCATACAAAGAAACCACCCCAACCCATGTAACAGGTGTAAGAGGTATCAATGTAAGATCAGTGTGCTACCTGAAAGTAAGCTCGGCTCCCATTGTTCGCCTCCTCTATTTCCTCCATCATTTTCGTAAAATTACTAAAATTCAAGAATTTCTTGATTATCGGCGGTTTCCATTCTTTGTAAATGCCTTTCATTTCATCGTCGTCGTAATAAAGAAACTGTCTGGTGTGTGAAAAGTATGCCGTGTGGTCTTCATCTTGCAGATTCTCTCTTAGGTAGTCTATGGTCCATTTTAAGGCAGTCTTCTGGAATGTACATTTTTCGAGTACCACTGGAAGCTGCAATTAATGGTTTTATTACAAATTAGACTTACCATGAAAACTGAGTGGTCGCGAACATTCGATCAATAAGCAAAGGCGTGAAAAGTTGACACGATAACCCAACATCTGCAGCAGATACTGTGTTTCCATGTCGAGTTCAAAGTCTGCTAAGTTTCCAAGCTCAGAGAAAGGTGTGCTCTTCTACAGATTGTTTATAAAACGTAGAATGAAAGAATTACTGAATGTGGTTTTCGCATAATATCATGAATTATCAAACCTCGTATCTGAGTTATCAGTCTAAGCCGTCGGTCCTGGCAGATAACTCAGACCTCAGCGTTGATAACTCTTAATAACATGCTCAACCTCCTCTAATAATCGCCTTAAGTATCGTGATATGTGCAGTTATTGTATATTAACTAGCAGCGCCCGTGGGAAAGATGAATCGAACCTTGTGTTCTGGTTGACTTCCCGAGCGGGCAAGATGGGACCATCTTGCCCGCATGGGAATGCCCGTGCGTGGAGCAGACTTACAAAGTTCGTCACTTTTGGACAACGTTGCTGACAAAGTGGCAAGAGCGACAGAGGGCAGTCAAAACTACGAGAAAAAACTAAACAAGCCTCTTGGGTACACCGTACTGCAAAGACATGTTGAATTTCCTTCCCGGCTCTCGAAATGAACTGGTTATTCTTGATTCTTATTAAAGTGAAATATCTTTCTATGTAGTAAATTCCTTATTGACTAGGCTTGTATTGTCCAGATGGCTGGATATTAGCCTCGTTCTTTTTTTGCATTTTTATGGACCTCGACTTCGTCTCGGTTCAAATAACGCAAAAAAAGAACTCGGCCAATATCCAACCATCCTGACCTCAAGCTTGGGCAATAACGCATATTTATCAAAAGCAACAACCACAATAACAACAACAACAACAACAAAATAAACAAAACAAAATAGTAGTACATGTCGCGAAAAAGTGTCCAATCAGAATTAAGAAGGGTAAAAGGAAATCAAATAGTCGTGATACGCTTTTCCAGGAGTTTAGTTCTAACTTAATCTCTTTGGACCCCCTGCCTGTGTCATGACATCATTTCAAGGAAAAAGGTTGGATTTTCGTAAAACGTAACAGACAAACCGAGCTACTGAAAGAAGTATTACGAAACTGAACGTGAGGACAGGAACATAGTGGAGCGCTTTCCCTTTCATTTGATCACCATCTTAATCCCCATGGTTTCAAGGAACGCTTTTCATTCAAATAATTTATTCTTGTGTTTGTGTCCATGATTCTGCCAGTAGCGTAGCTCCATGTCCCTGTATATAAACCACACACAACCCACAATTCTTTTATTCGCTCAGACGAATGGCTAACGCAGCTTTAAAAACACTTCACGGTGACCACTTTACACTATCAACTCAGTTGATAAAACCAAGTTATCTTGTGATTACCCCTTTACCAGAACAAAATAAAAAAGAAGCAAATGCCAAAGGTCGGCAATGAAATTTCAAATTAGAAAGAAAACAAAAAAACACATTGAAATAGTCTTAAGCACCAGATAGTCAGTGACTAAGTCGTACTGAGTGTGGTGCCAGTTATTATGACCAATCACGGCATAAGGGCGATTTTCGATGGGTATCGTGAGACCAAAACCAAAGCGATCACAGCAAGGAATATATCAAGAGCCAATGAGAATGCGAAGTAACAACAAACCAACTCCGTGAAAGGCGGGAAAACGCTAGTGAATACATCGAGAATGGCTTTAGTTATCAATCTAATTGCTTGAAAAATTGGTACTAAGTTTTCGAACCAATCCCTTAGCGAAGTAAATGAAAAACAAAGCAATCCCGAGTTACTTTCAACACTCAATTGAAAACTGCTCTAGTACCAATGTAATCCTGGATCACACGCAAATGTAAAATTACTCCAATGTGGTTTTACCCCCTTTTGTAGAAATTCCATTGCTCCCTTGTCGAAACAGTTTCTCCTTGGAATAGGATCCACTGGGAATGAATACACACCACGGAACTTTGGCGGCTCAGTCTCGTGTAAATGTTATTTTAGTTTCTCTTTATCGTCATTTTTATTACTGCAGCTATAAGGCGCTGAGTTGCTTTCGCAGTGAACATCAGCTCCTGAGAAAAAAAAGAGATCACTTATTATTCGGAATGTATTTATCATATGCGCGCTCATTTTTCTTCTAATTTCACATAATGAGTTTTAAGTATATTCCTCTCTATTCATGTGACGCACACTTAGATCTGAACTGAAAGATGGTCATGTAAGAGCTACCGTCACTGAAGGGGACACTTTCTTCCACTCTTGGAGTTACCTCTTGAATAATGGTTTCACTGCAATTACGGCCAGTGGCTCAGAGCCAAAATTTCATGTGCAGGGAATTCTTGTAGGTGGTGAGTGGCCGATTGTTTTGAGTTAGAAAGTGTTGAATTACCTGAGTTGCTGTTTCTGTGGCAGATGGAAGTTCTCATTGGATCCCATGAAGTTTCTTCAGATGCACTCGTGAAACACAAGAGAAATGCAAGCGCAACAAATATGCGCACCAGGGTTGATTCATTCTCCATTTCTCTCGAAGTCTTCCTATAAAAGGGAATACGAAGTTAGGTTTTTCAGTTTTCTTTCTTTACTTTATCATCCTATAGGTTAGAAAAAAACAAGTTCATCGAAAATCCCCCCGAGCTGAGATCTTTTCAAATGGATCTAAAGAGTCGAAGCTTGTATCTGTTATTTCCTCGCATCTGTGCAATTGGCTACGAGAACTTACTGCTGTGAAAACACAAGAGCATTACGTGCCCACGAAAACAATGACCAAATGAACATTCACACATGATGCCCATCATCAAAAACAATGAGAGCTATGGTAAACTACGAGAGACAAGACAAAAAAGAACAAAAAACCTAACAACAATTACAACAAAAACAGAAGCAAAACATTCTTATCCCGACTTTGTATTATTTTCCGAAAACCTGTAGTCTTCTTTGTTTTCCAGAGGATTGCTTGAAAACTCAAAAAGTCAGGTAGTGTCTATATCAAGACCTTTTGTTATAATTATTTCGCTGCTTCACACCTGCCCGCGAGATTAGCAATGAGAGTCCTTAAATGAACAGAATTCCCGTTGGTCCCACCGAAGAGAGATACTTATTTATGTTTTAGAAACGGGTCTCAGGAAAACGGTAACTTGACGATACTTTACAATCTTGCAAAATCTGAACTGGTAAACTTGCTTCCCTAAAGCATACAGCCAACAAGGGAAGATCTAATTTCCATGTCTACAAGTCTATAGTATAGTTAAAATATTGAGTTTTGATATCTTTGATGCCTTTAAAGACTACTCAAGGCACGATAGCCTTTGTTCGTTAAGTGTGGATGGGCGCCAATGAAATTCTTGTGAAACCTTAAAACGAATTACCTGTACATTTTCTGGTTTGTTTAGATTTTCTTTCAAATTGATTGATTATCATTCATGTAGGTATACATATATATGTAGATATATATGTATATATGTATAAATGTGAGGGTAGAGCCTACCTTGGTATAAAGTGCTCAATGCTGTGTTAGCAGAGCTGGGTATACATTAGTTGAAGAATCAAAGAGGACGCATCGATTCTCTGTTACTCTGAGTTTCGCGCCGAAGCGCTCGCCAGACAGACGTCAAAATTCTGTCTGACGAGCGCTTCGGCGCGAAACTTAGAGTAACAGAGAATCGATGCGTCCTCTTTGATTCTTCAACTAGTGTATATATATATATTTGTCTTAAATTTAGCGTTATGCCTTCGTAAACGGGTGAAAACTAATTAACTCAAAGACGGTATTTGTGCAAATTTTCATTTGACTCAAGTTTTCCGGTTCTTTTACGCGGAGCATATGGAGCGTGGGCCTAATTTTCTTAAGCCTGAGTGAGCTGCAGGAAGCTTTTTACGGTTTTTTATTAGAAATAGAGTAGATCAGTAGACATCTGGATTGTGGAATCCTTTTAAAAGCAATTGTGATCGTGAAAAATCTACATCTTAATGACCTCGTACGACGTTGGGATGAGTAAACAGACCGGTTTTGAATATTTAATTTGAAAAGTCTATTTGATTTAATATCAAAGCCTAAATTGCATGAATTTCATTGGCTACCTGAAAGTCGTAATATTGACGGTAGTGATTCTGAGCTTGTAAACAAGTTCTTTCAAATCTACCTTATCTTTTGCCATAAGGAAATTAATGTTTGCCTAACGCGTTCGCTTGTGAGCTTTTAAACGGATGAATACATATCTACGTAGAGATAACATTTGTAAGATTTGGGGACAAATTTTTACATTTATGTTCAATCTTTTGTTTTACAATATTGAAGTTTGCTTGCTTTTTGTATGTAAGCATCAATACGAATTGAAGTCTCTATAAACATTGCATTTCAAAATTAATAGTTCACTGTCTTTCAAAGTAGGCGTTGAAAGAGTTCACCTAATTCGCAGGTGATAGATGGTTAGCTGAGAACACACTTTCTAATGGTGACATGCATGCTGTTGAATATTTCGCAGATTTTTTATCTTACTTGCCATATCCTTCATATTTGATGGACAGAAAATATGCAAATCAAATAGATTTTAGTAAATAGGGTTTTTAATTTAGTAATGGATATCACTTACAACCAGATGCGCATGTAGCAGTTGCGAGTTTATTAAAGTTTTCCAATGTTTAAAGGCTCAAAACAATGTCGTGAAGTTTTAATTTTCAATTGATGGTTGAAAAAAATGGCAAGCTTTATCGTGAGTTTTGAGAGTGAAAGTGCGTGTTGGTGAAACAAATTCTAAATCGTGCAAAAAAAATGGACATCAAATAAAGAGCGTCAGTGAATGATTAGGTTATATGCAAGAGCTATATGCTTGAATTAAGGGGTGTAAAACAAACCACGAATTTGAGTGCGCTTCTCATATTTGCTGATTCGTAGCACTACCGATTCTTCACTTCCATCAATCGGTATCAAAGCAGTGGCTGCGACGAATGAGGTCGTATTCACTTGGTTTTCTGACCTTAAATCTTTCGATGATTATGGTTTCAAGTATTTCAAAGCAACTCACCTTAACTGTAGTTAATCAACAGCGCTGTAATCTAAATGGAAGTAGCAACTTCGTTGCGTGGTCTAACCTCTGTAAACTTAGCCCACAAGATATTCCATTCCTCGATTCTTTTCGAACGAAAATGATTCCAGTTACACCAAACCGCGAAATTGTTGCCGGAATTAACACTTGCGTGTATGAACTCTGAAGACTTGGTCGTTAATCATTTGCTTTCCAAGTAAAATGTGCTTACAGCTGCTTCCCTGAGGTGACATTAATGCAGGAGTTATAACTGATCTTAATTAGAATTGTATTTGCAACCTATCACATGCCAGCTCAATTACGGCCGCGACGCTGGGAAGATTGCCGGGAGGTAACTAAACATGTACGCGATAAAATCTGCACTTTAGACAGAATGTTCACACGGAAGAGCTCTAGCCAGAAAGAATATGAAACCGTTCCGTTCACAAGAAAGCAGCTATTGCCAATGATTTATTAGTTACATCGCCACATTTCAACTTTTTTTCAGTTCTACAAGTGACATGTATTTGGCATTTTCGGGGAAAAGATCGTTAAAATGCTGATTGAGTGCCGCATTCAATGACTTCCTAACACTTCAAAGAAAAACAAAATAAAATAAACAAGAAGAGGATCATTGTTCTACAGGACTAAGCGTAAATTTATCCGGTAAGTTGAAGGCTTCGGGCGTTTAAAAAGTCTTCACAAGGCGGTTAAATTTACTGAGCCACAGGGCAGGGCGAACGAAATAAGACACCAGCCGCTGGAAAAATATATTGCTCTCTATGGCTAAACAAACCGTTGCTTTATCGAACTTCTCGGTGTTTTAGATTAAAGGACGAGTTCACTGTTAGTTGGTGAATAGTTGTCCGCGTTCACTAGTGCGCTCACGTTCCATAAACCTATCTTTTGCGAATTTTTCCAAATGCAACAGGAACTTTGCCCAAGCAATAGTAAATAACACTTTCCTAAAGAGAAATTCGGCTTGTACGTCGCTTTTTCACATTTTTCGGACCTTGATTTTCAAAGTACCAGCACCAAGACCATCTGAAAAATTGCACTTTTGAAACAGAATACCTTCCTTTTTTCATTCTCAATGTAACTAACTTTTCCAACATGCTGAATTTTGCCTTTTTATGAGCAAAGATTCATATTTTTCCGTCACAGTAATAGATTTTGGCGCCACAAATTATTCACTGGGTTGTCAATTACAAGTAAATATTGGAGCAAGCTTTTAGTTTCGTCAGAGATATGGCTATCAACCTTTTCCCATTTTTTTAAACGAGGTTTTATCTTACGCGAAGTTTGTCGACTAAAAGAACCTTTAGTGCTTGACGGATGCATTAATAAGTTTACTTTTGTTTGCGGTGCCGTCATTTCTGTCAGAGTAATGGGCTTTTTCCACTTGCAATTAATATTTTATCCTGAGTTGCCTTTTTGTACGTTTTCATTAGTTTTAGTTCATTTCAAATTGGTAAAGACAAAAAGAAACAATACAAAGAACATATGAAATGCGAGCTGGGAAATTGAATAAATCAATTTTGTTAGTTTTGCGGAAAATGTCAGCGAGTAACAGGAAACAAATTCAAAACGAAGTTAAAAGTACTTTGGCATAGGGTAAAAGATGGACTGGACTGGACTATTTTTTTAGACGATTTTTTGGACGATTTTATAATGGGGAGGCACACCTTCAGGTACTCAGGGAGGGGTGGGTGCAGTCGACAAGAACTGAGGGAGGGGTGGGGGAAGAGTGTTATTACTCAGAGAGGGATGTTAGGTGGTTGAAATTGTAAACACTACTGGTTAATGGAGCTTTTACTCGATCGATTATTTTAATCGGTTTTTCGACTGACTTCTCCTACATCAACATTTTGCGCTGGGTCGCGGCGTTTCTTTAATTTTTTAGCCATGCGAAAGCGAGGCTGCCTCGTAAACACTGGACTTTAATTCTTATTGAAAACATCGCGTTTGCGATCCTCCACGGTTGAGTTACCAGTCTGGCATAGGTCATGCGTGTGCCTTTTAAGTCGACTTGTGCACCATCAGTTTTCCTTGGTGTAATTACCAGATTTATCTATCTTTCTTTTGTCATTGATGTTATCAGACGAGATCACAGAATTTCCGTTCCTTGGCGCATGACTTTAGCCACAAATAGAGAATTCACAAGCGCTATCGCAATTTTAACGTTTGTACGTTTACTATATGAAAATCATTTTTGGTACAATCGTATAAAGCAATGTTCTCTCAGGTGTGTCGTTAACACAGAGCTCGAAAACGCAGACCGCAGACCGCACACCTCGAAAAACGTATGAATGAATATTTGATTGATCTGCATTTAGTGGGTTTTGATTGTTTTTAAACTGGCGCGCGGAAGAAAATTTAGTGGTGAACAATAAAGACAATAGAGTGTTTATGTCTCGGAACTATCGGTCTGATAGTTGCCCCTTGGAAATTTGATGTTCTTAAAACTAGCATATTTGCCCTCGAAGCTTC